AGTGTATATTATTTGTACCTGATGATGACAAAACCTTGTCGAAACGTTGTACATTTGCTGTTATGTTAAACTTATATTAAAGTTTTTCTTCATTACCCATTTAAGCCGCCTCCAGCTATGTGAAATTTGTTTCAAAGAAATGTATAGTTCCTGTAGCAATATTTGACTAAAGCATTTCTAGTAAAAGTAAAATAGATGTATGTTTGGCATTACACTAGTTAGAACAGTTTTTGTTGATAGGGTGTTTGTAAGTTATTTAGATCAAAATGATCTTTTTTAATCTTGATGTTTTCTAATGTCATTAATATTTTATTTCATTTGCACTCATATATCTCAATACACCTTGTTTTCAGACTTTGCTGATGATGGAATAAGTGTATTCCAAAATGTTCAACTTATGTAAATATAATATTTTTAATCCTTCCATTGTCATTGCCGTAATAAGTACACTTCATTTTCTCCAATATGAAAAAATCTTATCATCAGTGTTCATATGAGTTTATTTTGAAGCATTTAGTTATAGAAACCTGTGCTCATGAAGCTTAAAATCAATACTATATGTATGGTATAATTTTCTGTTTTTAATTAATACATTTTAAAGCTTCTGTACTTTTATTCATAAATTCTTAGAATATAGCTGATGTGTGGGAGATTTGTAACCTATTCCCTATGTTACTCATCAGATAACAAAGTTCTTTAGTTAATTGGTTGGATTTTCTGAGACGTATCTGTTTAAATGGAAGAAATGGATTTTTATGAAATCAACAATAAAAATTTGACATAATTTATTGTTTTCCTTTCTCAAACTGAAACTAAAAAGTATTTATTTAAAATAAATTATCCATATCCACTATTATGTCCACTATATCCTATTATTTTATAAAAAAAATAAATTCAGGGTTATGAAAGAGACTGGTAACTACGAGACTTGTTTACTGTTTTATTCTATTATCTAAGAAAGAATTGTGCTTTGTTGGCCTTCTGTCTTCTAGTGAGTGATATAAATAGTTTTCTACTAAGTCTAGGAGTAATCCAGTTAGCCTGATGGATAACATTAATATTAAACAAAAGGCCTTGTCAGTAACAGCATATAGGAAAGTGTAATTTAAATGCTGTTACAACTTCTTATGGGAATACTCTTTTGGCTTATTAAGAATGAAGTAATAAAAATTATTGGTTTTATGGTAATGATTCATTTCACTTGTTTGCTTAAGAAGGACTGTGCTGTGTCAGTTTAGGCATTATGCTATAATAGACTTCATTTTACATCTGTTATGAACTAAGAATACTAATGAACATTTTTGACTGATTTCATCAAAATCCAACATGTATTATTTGATGTACATATATGTAACATGGACTTAACTTTTGTGAAATAGACAAAAAAAAAACATACATGTCTGATAAGATTTGTTTGCTTCTGATATTCAATAAAGATAAATGTAGCTTTCATTTTCCATTATATCATATTGTTGATAGTGGTAGATACTACTGTCCACACACACTTAAGCTGACAATGGTGATAATTGTAGTACAATAGTTGTCAAGAGTTTGTTTATTTTGGATATTCAATGCAAAGCTGCACAAAGGCTATCTTCACTAGCTGTCCCTAATTTTGAAGTGATACACTAGAGGGAAGGCAATTAGCCAACAGCATCCACCTCCAACTCTTGGGTTACTCTAATTGAATAAATGGATTTTACTGTACTTTTTAACACTGTTATTTATGATATTTATATTTATAGTACATTACAAACTGAAGATAACTTGTAATGATGCTTGTTCTGGGGAAGTATTCTTTTCTAACAGAACACTTATAATAATCTTATTTACTTATTACACGTATTTTAATAATTCAAGTCTTTTTTTTTTCAGTAAGTTAGTTTAGACTTAGAAAGCTAACATTTATATTGTACTGTAGCATGCTCTTATGTGAACTGTAACTTTTGATAAATATCATTGCATATGTACACACAAATATGTATATATATATATATATATATATATATATGTCCAGAATTCAGCAAACAAGTCTCTCAAACAACAAACTAATTTAACTAATTCCAAACACCTGTAGTAAATATTATTTTTAAAGAGTATACCTAAAGTTT